TTAATCTATTGATTTCATTATTTTCTTAGTCATAGAGAAAATGATATTATACAAAATGGTTAAACATACAACTAATAGCAATAAGATAGTGGTTTATTCCACAACAGTCTTATAACAATAATGGTTAACCATACAAATGACTCTGCCGAACCATGTGCATCTTTAGTTGTTAATAGTTTTCTAATACACAAAAAACAAAATGTGTTTTAGGATCCATATTTAACTGAGTCATATTTGGCACACTTATTTATTCTTAATTGCTTAATCATAAGGTTATGGTATTGTGATTCCCAACTATGGGTTTTTTTCTTTTTTTTAACTATTACGAATCTTGTGCTTCGAAACCATTACTTATCATACAATTTACAAGTGCAAATCTCTAAACAAACAAGCAAACATAAAACAAATATTACAAAGAATTGACATTTCGAAACAACAACACAAACTGCCAACAATAATAACAGCGAGACTTTCAATTCTGAAGACACTTGCAGAAGCAGAAAATAAACAAGCTTTTGCTACTGTTGGGAACACATTTGTTCTTCACTGAACATGATACATATATGGGATTACAACTACTGATTGTAGTTTGCCAAAAATATTGCAATCAATATATCACATTGTCGTTGCTCTGCTTACTGTATATGACAACAGAGGTATACAAATTCTAATGAAATTAGTAAAACTACCTTATCATTTCTACAAACTGAAATATTGCAGGGAAGAATTCAAGTCCTTGACTCCAACTGTCACAATTCTCATTAAAAGATGAATATTTGGGACTTGCAACAAGGAGAATCAAAATCGTATACACTGGGCTAGATCAACATCACCAGAAAATATCACATGTCATAGATGTAACGTGGATTACCAAATACTTTGTATGAAATTTAATTTTTAGTAAGTTTCTTATGTAATTTCTTGCACATGTACAAATTTAAATGCTTTTTAGTTTAATCTGAAAATAGAAGTTAAAACTCACTCAATTATCTACGATTGATCCAAATATTTAATAACTTATAAAGAAAAATTGATCACAAAATTACAGTGATCAGTAAAACATAAACAATATTTAATAAAAATATTAAACACCAATGATTATGACAATTTCAAATAATTAAACATGTTCAACAAACAGCAATCTAAATACTGTTCCTATAACATATAAAAATAAATTTCCATTCCATTATTCATTAGATTAAATTATATGCCAAACCACAACATATTTTGGAAACCCACGTGCCGAACCATTGTTAACTATTTATTACGCTTTCCTTTAATGCGCTACAAACAATTTTGTTATCATTTCGTATCTCATCGCCCAATAAGTTGTCAACACTTTTTCAATCAACGTGTCTATCTGTTACTAAATGTCTGTTAATTTTCCCAAAGCAACTTTTATCTTGTGTGATACAGTATCTCAGAAATTGATTGGGTTGTCATGTTCTCAACTTCATCCCAAAAACTTTGAATAAACTGTATAGATCAAAGACATGCATTTTCAAAATCAATATGAGGATTATGGATGTGAAGGAACCATATTTTAATGTTCTAATGTGAAGTAACAAAATTTTAATTACAAGACTAAAATACTGGATAAAACATAAACAATATTTAATATTTTAATAGATATTTAATAACAATATTAGACAAAATTGTTTATTAAAATGTTAAAAAATTAAACATAGTCAACAAACATCAATCCAAATATATTATAATCTTAATTAAAAAAAAAGTAGAAATAATCATTTCTATTCCAGATTTTAAAAAACTTTTGTAGCATTATTGATCAAACAAGATTGAAGCCGAACTATATGCATGTTTCATAACAATATTGCCGAACCACAATTAAAAAATTAATAAATATATTAGGACATCATCATATCATCTCTGACTTTGATACTTGACAAAATATTTATTGTCCTTCCTTTAAAAATGTATCAATAAGATTTTATTATTAGTAAATCACAGGGTTTATTTATTATAATATCTCAACATCTAGCCAAACCATCATTAACTACCTAACTAATATATTGCACACTTAACAAAATATTTATTATGGTTTTCTTTAATATTGTACAGATAGTCTACTAACGTTTCGTATTACCTTATCCAAATAATTATTAACAATTTTTCGATCGACACGTTTATTTATTACCAGTTGTATGTTCATATTCCATCTTTTCGTATCCTATTCTCCTATAAATATTGCTCTGACATTTATCACTCATTTAACTTTCTTCAGATACCATACACTTTAATTGTTCATTTCTTCTCCACAACTTAATTCAAAAATGGCTGACAAAACATCACAACCAAAAGAATCTACAACAAATATCAGCAACAACCTCAACAACAATAATTCTCCACCGAGGCAACCAAAAGGTATAAATGTTCCACATCTTTTGTATCCTAAATTGCAAAATGTCAAACAAAACAATGATACATATTTGCGGAAATATAAAAATCATTAAAAAAAATTTGATATGTTGAGAGTTCATCTCATAATTATATTTACACATTCATGTTACTGTTTTCATATATTTATAAAATTTGATTGTATATTGTTTTTGCAATTGGTTTAGACATTTTTCAGGAAATGCCAGAATTGAGGGAGATTTTCAAAAAAGTTGACACCAATGATCTACGTACTACTAGAGACAAATTCAGAGAAGTCATTGACCAGATGTTAGAAATCATGAAATCTGCCATAGATATTATCTATAAGATAAACAAAAGAGAGTATGCATATGCACTAGAGGAACTGAACAACTATAAGAAAAATAGAAAATAAAGTCTACTTCATCCAAACCCACTTCACAGTATGAAAAACCGATGTACTTATTTATTTTATAATAAAAGTATTATTCTTTATATTCAACTTTATCTTGAGTTTGACGTTACTCATTAATTGATTGAAAATTGTTCCTTTAATTGACGCATTGTATTTATTGTTTAATTAATCTACTAAAAATTGTCCATCTTGACATGTTAGTTTTGATTTAATTTTTCCATCTTCACACATTGGATGAGTAATAATAATAATTATATAAGTACCTTACATAGGCTTTCCAAAAATCTAACCATTTCAAATAAAAACCTATAAAGATGGAAGTTAGTCTGTTTTCAAACCTTGGCTAGAGAGAATCCTATACTGTGAGAAAAAAATTTACCAGTCAATGTCAAACCTGAAAATGAACTCAATATAAATTTTAAGTTTAAATAATTAATTATGATAATATTAATTGATATTAATATATAAAGGTACAATTATTAATTTTATCTTAGCACAACTCTATACATATATAAAAGTTATATCTACTCTAAAACTTGTATAATTTAACAATTATCATCTCTTAATCTAATTACTTTATTCTGTTAGAATAAATATGTTTACAACCTATTTTAAAAATATTAAATAAACATAACCACGCAACGCACGAGCCCCATGTCTAGTTTAGAAATATTCCTATATATAAATATTCCTATATATAATCAACCTTATTAATCTTAACAATAAAGATAAGTCGACAAACCCTTCTCACTAATTTTTTTCACAAACGCGACGTGGCAGCTCGTAATTGGTCAAACGGGATCCATTATTGGACAAAGGGACTCATTGCGGGTTGACCAATTACGAGTTACCACGTTGCGATTGTGAGAGAAAGTTAGTGAGAAGGTTTTGTTAGCATAGTATTACCCTTACTACTATCAAATCTAGCACCATCTAGTATGGTTTAACATATTTTAATGAGACTGTTAAACATATTTTAATTAGACTGTTAAACCGAATGGTTAAATGTTAGACTATCAAGTATTGTATAATCTAGCGTTATATATTATTAATAAATCATGAGTATTTATAACATTATAGATATAATTGGTAAGTCACTTGATTCTATGGCTAGATTTCTTCTTTAAATAAAATCGGTACATTTTGGAAAAGTGCCATTATTGAGTTGGGTATAATTTCTAAAACTATTTACTCTCCTGAAAGGGAGAGGAATGTCTTTGTATTTTCAGGGATCAAATGTCAAGAATACTAAGTTATGAATCCCTTTGGCTGTGTATTCTTCCTCAATTTATACTTGTAAACTTATTTGTGATGAAACTCGTGTGATAGATCAAGGTGGTTGTATTTTTACCTTCCCTCCACAACCATACTTCACTGTCTAAGTAGATCCCTCTTTGCAGGTAAAACTCATCTTGGAGTTTAGTATTAAAGCTATGAGCTAGTGATACCTAACCTTTCAAGGGTATGTTGAAGAATCCCTACAACATAATTCATGAACCAAAATGACCAATTTGTCATTTTCTTTTTCTTCAATAAATTTATCTACAGACGCCTTGTTTTTCCCATTTCATTTATTGTGAATAGTTTCTGATAACCTTTTATTTCTGTGGATGTAACTGAGGATTCATAATGGGAATCTATCGAGGAAATGCCAAGGTTAATGACTTGAACCAAAAGTTATGGCAGTTATAATGGGAAACTATCTGGTAAATTCTTACTCTGATTGATTTGCATTCAAACAGTGTAGCGACTATTCTATCTGGTAATCAGCTTTCCATTAAGTTGTTTTGAGTTTTCAATGAAATTTCATTCAAGAAATTTTTGCTTTGTCCTCAGTTCAGTTCTTTCTTAAAGGCTACCAAGGACTCAAATCTCAGATTCAATCCATGAGACAAAGGTAATTGGAGAAGCAAGACATGTCAAGCATCAAGTCATCAACATCTTGCGTATGTTTTGTTGCTGTTGTTCCTTATGATTGACCAAAGAAAAATGCTAGCCTTACTTACTCTCCTTACTTACTTCTCTTACTCACTTTTGTTAAAATGACATATGATACCCGTACTATGCTTATGGTATCCGTACTATACTTTATATTTACAAAGATGAGTAAGAGAAGTGAGTAAGGCTAGCATTACTCTTGACCAAAACTATATGAATGCATATGCATGTAATTAGATTAGATAGTTATGTAAACAGAAGAAATATAGAAACCAAATGCTATTGAAAAGCTTCTATTTATTACTTCCAGTTTATTCATACACATACAAAGACAATACAATTGATTTCCACTGGAAATTTCCAGATGAAGATTGAAACCAGTAAGCTGAAGGCTTACCTATATGAAGGTTTGCGAACTAAAACTTTTTCATATAGGACTGACCCTATGTTTGCCTATATTGACAAAAAATTTGCCTATGTACATAAAGCATCTTTCTAACTACTTAACAATTTATTCTTGGCTTGAGCCAAATTGTGTGGTATAGATGTATAGTTGTAAACTTCAGCCCTCTGGTAGTGTTGAAGTTTATCACCTTTGTAAACTTTGGATATCTGAATTTTAGCTGCAGATAGCCTCGACTGAAAGCTTCTTATTGGCGTTTGGACATGGATCGCCTCCAAAAACATCAGGAACCACAGATACTGAACAAGACTGCTTTCCAATGCAATTCTGAAAGAGAAGGATTACGAGGGAACTCAAATCAGCTGAAGTTGGACAAACTCATAAATTGAACTAAAAGCTTGTGATCAACATCAGCATTTGGATAGAGGACCAAACAAAAGGTGTCACATAAGAACAGTAGATTAGGATTAATTTGGCCTTCTGCATACCAAGTGAAGAGATTTTTTTTTCTATAAATTTCTAAATGAAAAAATAATCTTCAAATGAACTTGCATACTATGAAAATAGTAAGGAAATAAAGAGTCATTAGAGTTCTAGCTGTACCCGTTGAAAAGCATCATATGACTTGTGAGCATGACAGCTACCCTCACGAAAGCTTCCACATGTTCCTTGTGGTAACCCATAGCTAGCAAACTTTACTTTCGAGATTTTCTGCCCAGGAGGACACCACAAATGGGCTTTGGATTGCATTTTATCTGATTTTCCAGAGGAGATTATGTTCCAGTTGCTTAAGGCTGGTTGCCCTTCAAAAATATCAGCACATACGCTTCCTGTTGTTCTTTTGACCAAAGTAATTCCACTTGGATCACCACCCCATTCTTCAAACACAACCAACAGGTTTCCAGTTGGATTCAGCCATGAGCGTGGAACATGATACCTAAAAGTAACATCTACCGAGTGAATATTCAAACTGGGGAAACAAACGATAACAAGAATAAAGAAGCAACATTGTTCTCACCATCTTTGAGATGGCTGTCCACAGTTCGTGTGACATTTCTTGTCTGTATAAGTTCCGGCGTAATTACAAGCACCACAACTACCATGTGCTATATATCCAGGCCAGTGGCGCCCAATGCTCTGACCATTGATCCAAATCAGCCCTTTTCCCATGGTATTCATATCCAAAGCTAAAGGATCATTGCCTGCCGGTGCGTTGAAAGTAGTCTGCAGAACAAATATTTGGTATTAATATATCTGGTATACCATTAATTTTTAAGAGTAGTGGAAATGAACTGAGAGTAGAAATTGTTCTCACCTTGTACCATGTCAATGGTTGTTTTTGGGCCAATGATGATCCTTCTACCCATTCAACAGAGCCGCTCCCACTAACGGTATGAAGGCTTAAATCTTCACCTTTCAGACCAATCTGCTTAGATCATACAGTACATGTTTAGCTAGCTTGTGATGAATATCATTGTGAAAAACTTATACTCAAGAAATATTCAATCATTTATGACCAAACTTTCTGGCTACATCTGCATTACCTGAAACTGTTATTCTTTTAAATTAATAAATAATTTGTGAATATTTTTGGGCATTCAGATGACTCTTGGATCAATCCACCACTAGACAAAGTATACTCACTTTATTTTACCGTTGCTTTTCCAACAGTCAATGTCATTCTAATAATTCCATAGGTTTCAACAAAATCAGTAGTTCACAAACAAGGGTGTAGTACTATCTGCAGTAATGGCTTTATATGTTGTATTAACAATTGGATGTGGTGTGAGTCCTCATTGGACATAGAAATGATAAATTCAAGCAAAAATGTCAGAGTTCTTTTCCGGAATAACCCAGTAACCTGTCTACAAAATATAGCTCAAGCCATAATTATGCAAAAGACCTACCAGAACCCTAAATTTTCAGTATGGTGCAAGGTAACATATTTCTTTTGAATATTTAAAGACATACCTTGTAAGACCATTTCTGTTTAGACAAGTCTCTTGTCCCCTCATTGAGACCCTTCAATGTTACTGGACCTAGCACACCAGCATTCCATTGCTCGAAATGTGTGCCTACATTCTGAGAATTTGATGATGCAAAGAGTAAACTGTCATACTTCCGAGTTGTCAGCAGTGTTCAAAGAATAGAGGCGCATCAGAAAATGAGAAAACTGACCTGAAGACCCACAGATATACTTAACAAAGAAATCTGGTTATCACCAACTCTCATTTTGACATTTTGACTGAAACTTAATTTTGGATTGTCAATTCCACCATAAACAGTTCCTGAATTAATGATAAAAGCTAAAGTGAGTTGGTTATAAGTGAAGATACACATGATGTTCATTTGACATTAGTACTGGGCCAACTTATGATAGTGTCTCACTCTTCCCATTACCTGATAGTTGACCATTAATGAAAACATGCAGTGCATGACCTGCAGACCAAATGTTGAGAAGAGGATCTTGTCCATTCTTCAGAAATCCTTCATTAGAGCCTATATTTACACTGAGTGGGACACAGAAAACATATATTGATAAAAATCAGTTTCAGAAAGATTATAAAAACTAATTTTAAAACTGAGAGGTTAAACGTGTCAAGGAAGCCAAGAGGTGATTAGTCAAAACTACTCACTTTGTCATATACCACAAATAATCCGAAGCATCTCTAGTCACATTTAATTGTTCCCACAGCCCATCAGTGGTAAAAGTTTTATCATCACTAGAAGAGGCACTTTCTTCAATGTATGACTGCCAAGAAAATTTGTTGACAGGTGTCATCTGTTTCACGGAGCTTTGGGCACCAAGCTGTTACAATTTGATGTCAGAATTCACCCTTGAAAATTCTCAACTGACTCTACATAAAAAGCTCAGGTTTATTTCGTAGCAAAATCGCTTTTTGAATTTCTAGCATGAGCAATTTGTTAGGTCTTTACTATATTGAACTTCAGTATGTTTTATGAAGTTTGCTCCATAATAGAACGTAGATTTCATGCGAAAACTAATTGAAACATAGAAAAAGGATTACAAGTGTTAAGTCGATGTTAAGAAACAGGAACTAATTGCAAGATGTTGAAGAGTCTTCTCCTTACCCGAGCAGTATTGTAAACTGCAGTTTTGCAGTCAGGGAGGATGCTGATGGACCAAGGTGGCAGTTCATATTGCATATTTCGAAAGTTCACTTTTACTGAGTATGTTGTGTCATAGTTAGCAAGGAATGCCGCACAAGATCCAGATTTTTGGTTAAAAACATGAGCCTGTAGATAATTATAGTGATTAGAAGCTCAATTCTCAAAGATGGAACCCAAGGGCTTAAATCTGGTTTTCTTCTACTTTGCTCTAAGGCTTACCTCTTGATTTTTTCCAAGTGAAGTCACTTTGGGATCTGTAGAAACTAAAGCTGATTCACATAATTTGATGGCTTTATGCAAATCTCTCAAATGTCCCCATTTTGGTTCCCTTAGTAGCCCTGGTATAAAACAGAAAACTCAGATTAATGTGGAGTATGATGTTTCTGGAAGATGTCTATACAACCTTAAATATTCTCAATCTTTCTTTCATTCAGGTAGCAGCATAATTACAGTGTTAGTCGCATTTAAAGTAATTAGAATCTTTAATGCTGGAAGTTCATGATGCAGCCACACAGGTAACTTAAGCATACTTAGCTCTAGGATGCTAAACATGTTTGCTTACCATATTCATCTAAAGGAGCATCATAATCATAGCTAGTAGCAATGAAGGGACCACCAGCTGTCCGGCCAAAATTAGTTCCTCCATGGTACTGAATCAAGAAAAAAAAATAGAAAAAACAAAATCAATTACAGAGCTGCAGAAAAAATTTGCCCAGAAAGATGAAAGCGTATTAATTTACCATGTAGTAGTTTACGAATGAACCTCCATTCTGTATGAACCTTGCCACTGAAAATGCCACGTCTTCTGCTGGTCTTTGAGGAGTTGGGCCACCAAACGCGGTGAACCTAATTAAACAAACAAAAGGGAAAATCAGGGAAGATATTCCAAATTTTTCAGAAAACAGTAATACAACTTGCTTGAACTACTTGCAACAGATGATAAAGATAAATAAATACAGAAAAGGATCGAAGAGAGAGAGAGAAAGAGTTGGCCTCTATACCAGCCAGTCCAGTTTTCTGTCCACATTTTGGGTTTATATTTCTGGTTTGGAACAAAGTTTTCACAGTAGAAACCATTGCAAGTGTTTATCTGCCAGGTGAAAGATTAGTCAGCAAGAGATTATCTAGAATCTTTTTGTACAGTACCAAGAGCATAATCACTTGTGATTAAAGAACTTCAAGTAATCACCAAATTAACCCCCAAATTGATATAAGCACACTTTTCACCGTAAACATTTAGATTAGCATCTTTCAACTGGATTTTCAAACCAAGTTTCTAATAATTGAGATCATCTAGTGAAAAGGGACATGCTCATGGTTATATATTATTACTTGCTCAAAATTCAGAGAAAATTGAAGAAAAGACAAAATAAAATAAAATAAAAGAGAGATTGATAGGACCCCGTGAAATTAAATTGAAAAAGAGGCAACACCCAAAAGCATATGAGATAAAAATGTACTACGATTGACACCAACTAATTGGAAGCAGACAACTAACTATTAAGAACCCCACCAAGAAAGGAGGGCCATAATAAAGAAAGACATACCAAAATGCTATTAAGAATTGAAAATAAAAAAAAAAAAGCAAAAAGAAGCCGGTGAAAAAGATGGCTAAGAATTGCTTACAACTGGATCAGGAGCATCATCTTGTTTGCACATAACCCACGGAACACCAGTGTCAAGACCAACAGCCATTTGAGCAGCCCATTTGGTATAAGCTTTACCAGGAGCACCAATTTCCCATTCAACCGGTCCAAATTCATTCTCTATCTGCAAAAATAATGCAATTATATAAAACGTTTGAACAAAGCTAAAGACAGAAGTAATAATAAAAAATAACCCATTTCTACAAGACAAATAAGGATTACAAAGCAGATAAGTTTCCAACCTGTGACAGAATTATTGGACCTCCTTGTGTTTCAAACAACTTTTCTGCCTTCATCATGCTGACTATCTTCTCCGTGAATTTTTGCATTGCCGCCTTCATTACGAGTTAAATTAATCATTAGATTAATAAACCAAATTACTCAAGAAAGAGTGATAAGAGAAAAGATAAATCAATATAGTGTCCAACCTTGAAAGGTTCATTGTCTGTTCTAAATTCAATGCCTGGAACATATTTCAGCCAAACAGGAAATCCCCTGAAGCAGAAACAGAACATTGTAATACAAGTATAGTTATAAATTAAAACAAGAGTGAGAACGCATAATTGCTATTACCCAAAGTTCCATTCTGCACAAACATAAGGGCCAATCCGGAGATTAACATAAAGGCCGGCTTGCTGAACAAGCTTGATGAACCGAACAAGATCATATCTGTCCTCAAAGTAATACTGAAAGTACACAGAATTTAAAAATAAAAAGGACCAATAAGTTATTGAATCCAGAAATTGTTTTAAAAAAATTGCAATAATAAATTAAATTCAAATGCATTACTTTCCCAGGAGAAGGCTCATGTCCATTCCAAAAGACATAAGTTTGTATAACATCCAAACCTCCATCTTTGGCCTTCTGAATAAGATCAGGCCACATCTGCAATTACAATTTCAAAAAAACAACTCAGTCCAAAAGACTAAAAGAAGAAGTTCCCATGTGTGAAAACTCCATAAAAATTAAACAGAAACATTGAGGAGCCACATTGGCACTTCCAGTACCTGAGGAGTACTTCTGGGATAATGAATGGAGCCAGAAATGAGAATCCTTTTCCGGCCACTAACGATGATAGCTTTATGGTCATAAGACACAGTTGCTTCCACATAACAAACCCATGAAGAAAACAGCATTAGCAGCAACACGAACATGTTGGTCTTTAAACCCCGGAACTCCATAAAACCTTGGGAGTTTCTCGGAACTAATCAATGGCGTTTTTTAAAAAACTCGGTCTCCACTTTGATGCTATATGGCATATATACGGTAATGTTCAAGAGGGAGAGAGAAAGAAGGAACAAAAGAAACGAAAAAAAGAACAGATTTTCTCTTTTATTGATTCTTTTGAGAATGAACTGTCAAAAGTGAAAGAGATGGCAGAGTTTTCAGTTTGGTTTGGCTTTGGTTTACGATGAATGGAAATGGATTGGGAAACTCACACTTCCAACTGCTTTTATAACACTTGAAGAAAGAAATGGGTCCCAAATTTTCTGCCTTTTGATAAGCGCTGAGCTTAGGTTCGCTTAACTTCAACCTCAACGTCTCTCACACGGAACTTTACATTATATCTTTCTACCATTAACAACTTCGTTGCTTTGAGTTTGGTTTGTTGGGGTAGCCAAAGGTGAATTTCAAACTAAAACAATATTTTTATGCTGAAGCATTTAAGAAAAATGTCGAGTGGTTAGTTCATTTGATTTTGGGACCGTCCCTGGCCAAATTCAAGGCTTTCAATCTAGTTTCTTGTTTTTCTTTAATACAGAAAGATTCATCTAATCCCAATGCATATTTATTTATTTCATGCAATTGGATTATTTAGATACCTTCAAATGGAAATAATTTCAAGTTAATTTTTTTTTTAATATATATCTTAATGGGAAACAAATTAATTCAGAATTAAGACAGTTACTTTAAAGCAAATGCGAGTGTTTAAAAGGAATTGATTTAAAAAGGGCTCATACGATTTAGATGGATTTTAGTATGAAATTAACAAAGTAGTTGCTATAATTAATCTGTCCAATCATCAATTGTTACTACTTGATTTATGAAATACATATTTATCCATTGGTCACCATCTTTCTCTTTCAACCATAAAATAACAGTGTTTTATTTTTAGAAATATATTTATGTCGTAAATATTTTTCTTTAAGTTTGTGACCACGTGAATTTGTAATTGACTTACTTGTCATGAAAATTTAGTAGAAGATTTATTGGTTAAAGAAAGTAGAAATTTAAGTTAGTCAAGTTGCCTCTCGATAGCGTGTACCATCTGCCGTGGTTGCTTTGACCTGAAGCGTTTAAATTGAGTCCCACAAGCAGCTAATCATACAAAGCCACGTCATAATGTAGGCCTCCCATGTCCCAACTAACCAAGCCACATTCACCTGCCTTTTAAGTTTTAGGTAAGATTGTCTTTAACATCTATTAAATGATTTCATTTATATTCTTCAATTAATAATAAATGAAAACTATTATTGTTCAAATTTAATGAAATATTAAAGAGAAGAAGGGTGAAAATATGATAATTAATTAGATTGCAAGTTACAGAAACAAAATTACAAATAATTGATAGTCGTTGTTCTTGATCATGAGCAAGTTCCCGGCAAGGTCATGAGATTGGTTGCTATAAAGTCTGTAGGGAGTTAACAAAATATTATAAATATGGGAACTCATTGATTTAATTATTTTAAGGTTTAAATAATTTTTTTTAATCCCCGAAATTTATGAACAACCTATAAACACAAATGACTAAATAAATTACAATAATATTGTGGTATAGATCTAAGGTTTGAATTCAAAAACTCAAGAAATTAGTAAATCTCTTTACCTATCAGACCAATCCCTAGATTAAGTCTAAAGAATTAGGAAAGATTTGAATTGGAAAAAATGTGATGGTGAGTTGCACTAAATTTTATGGAAGCTTTGTAATACGCAATAATAATGTTAGAAGTAATAAATCAAACGCTCTTCAAAATTAAGCTACATATTCCTAACAATAATAATCACAGGATGAAAAATATCATTTATCCTTGAAAAAATTATCACTACTTACAAAGACATTAACAAAATTTTGACGATGTATTTAAAGAAGATATGGTTAGTCAAATTGATACAGCCTATTGGTGAAGACTCATGAGTCAATGTTGACTTGTACTTGTGTTTACCGTCTGATCCAATGACCTCATCATCTAATATATATATATATATATATATATAATTATATATAATATATAAAAATAAGAATAATAAAGCACCGGCCTTGTTCGGCTTCTAAAGTCGTTTTCATCGTCTCCCAACTCCCCAATTCATTGAAAATTGTAACCCAACCAAATATTAGATACAATTAGTCTTCTCATTCTATTTGTTTTCCTATCTATTTAATATAGAGAAGGTAAGTCGACACATTTACATTTTCATACACACTTCACACTCTATAACACCTATTCTTTCAATCATAGTCCTTATATATATTTAACAGTATCTTTTGTTGTGTTAAAAATAAATATTTTAAATGTGGGTTATTTATATTCTTAAATTGCATTTTACCATTAAAAGTTTCATATTAGATTCAATGTTCTTGTAAATTACAGTAATATCATCTAGACATTATGAACATCAAATTCCAGAAGTCTAAAATGTAGATGACTATATGATGACTTGATGACTCCCCTGTCCCGTACCATGTCATTTCAAGAGAAAAATTAAAATATTTAAAACGTTATCTATAAGTTTACTTTCATTCCATTTATTAAAATATTTCAACATTTAAAAAATTAGAATCTTACCCTATCTTATATTATTATTATTATTATTATTATTATAAAATGAGAAAGAAAGAACATTAATTTAAGCATAAATACTTTGCCTAATTCAATTTCAATGCTTCAAAAAGGTGATTCTAAAGAATAGATTGGAGAGAATATTAGAAATTATCTTTACCCTATATCTATTACTTGTATTCTTTGCTGCTTAATTTCAGACCAAAAGATTAAAAGAATCGTAAAAGCATTGTCTCCCATTTCAATTTACTTGCTTTAAGCACCTCCGCATATTGATGCATGCCTTTTATCATACGTAAATTCTTTCTTCTAACCCTAATAAATTACAACAATTATCAATTATGTTAAATGTAAATGGCTTTTGTTTTTCACTAAATAATTCATTGGATAATTTAATTATATCAAATATGATATTAATAGCAGTGTCAAATTAACCCAAAAAGAAATTATTTTGGACGTAAACCCTAAAACATGTTGTGTTTATTAAAAATAATAATAATAAGGGAGAACGACTTACACATACCCAAGGTTTGCCGTAACGATAAAGTGGTATTCAAAAGGTTTTGAAACGACAAATAGGTACCTTCCGTCATGTGTTGTTAGTAATTTCCATTTGATAATCGTGAAAAGACTAGAATGCCCCTGAAAGTTTGATATTTTAGATTTTTATAAATTTAAAAATTTCTAAAAAACCCTCTAGGTTTGCTAATTTAACTAAACACCCCAATATATAAAAATTTTGTAAAATAATAAAAACACCCCACCACCCGCAATGCTAGATTCCAGCCACCACCGTCGGAATCTGACCTGAAAATTGCGTTACGACACAGACCCATCAGATCTGTGTCATAACGCATCGATCTGGCCTTTTCCGGCCAGATCCACCATGGATTTGGCCGGAAAATGCCAAATCTATGTCCAGATCTGGCCGTCGAGAGTTTTGCGTCCTCGACGACCAGATCTGGCATTAGATCTGGCCTTTTCCGGCCAGATCCATGGCGAATCTGGTCGAAAAAGACCAGATCTATGTCCAGATCTGGCCGTCGAGAGTTTTGCGGCCTCGACAGCCAGATTTAGCCGTAGATCTAAGGATCTGGCCGAAAAAGGCCAGATTGACACGGTACGACACAGATCCGACGGGTTTGTATCATAACACAATTTGCTGGTCAGATTTCGACGGTGGTGGCCGAAATCTAGCACTGCAGGTGGTGGGGGTGTTTTTGTTATTTTATAAAAAAATTTATATTTGGGTGTTTAGTTAAATTAGCAAACTTATGGGGTTTTTTAGAAATTTTTAAATTTATAAAAAACTAAAATATCAAACTTTCAAGGACATTCTAGTCCTTTTACTATTACCAAACGGAAATCACTAATAACACATGACGGAAGGTACTTATTTATCATTTCAAAACTTTTTGGGTATCACTTTATCGTTACGACCAACCTTGGGTATGTATAAATCGGTCTGCCTAATAATAATTAAAAAAAAAAAAAAAAAAGAGAAAGAGACTAGCTTTATGGTTATGGATGAATACGTGCAGATGTAAATATTGCGGGCCCTTTGTTTCTAATTCGGGTTGGGCCTCCAACGTTGAGTTAAAGATAAAGAAGATGATAATTAGGTAATAATCACGTCTTCATGATAAGCTTAACATCAGACGGTTCTCTCTTATGGATGACTATGGCACGTCATACATGGGAATTGATTGATTTGGCTACTAATTAATCTATGTCCTTCTTTCTTAGGATGTGGGTCCTCATTAGATTTAGTTAGGTTTGGCGGTGGGTCAATTGATCATGTCTCACAAATCAATCAAATTCATCATCCACCCTAAATTGTGCTGGTGTTTTCATCTAGCAAAAGGTCACGTTCACATTCACACCATAACTAATTTTACTTTTGAAGAATTTAATTACTTTTTTTTTTTTTTTTTTTTATGGTATTTGTGTCACATCTCAACCAATTTCACGGCAGTTCAAAAATTTCAGTTGAGATTGACTAAAATAAAAACTAATTACACACTAATATTTTTATTAAAGTGAACCAAAATCCAGAAATTATATACATTAATATATATATTTTTAATTTCAACTAGAATAACATCCGTCTCTACCTAAAATTATTGGTCAGGTAAGTCCTAATTAGTTCGAATATAATTACTTGAGAGCTTTCATTTGAGGTATTCTTTCTAAAAATTTTGCTCTACTTAGTACCATATTCACATATGGATTCAATGGGAGTAAAAATCAGGGTAATTTAAGCTTATCTTGTAAAACATAAAAAGAAATTAAATGGGGTATATTATATGCAGAATTAAATTGTTGATCTATCTCCGTTGTCCGTTCATATTCAAGCATGTCATTTATTTTTATAATAATGTTTGAGCATTACTAGGAGAGTCATATTGTCAATGTTATAATAACACTAACACTTATCTAAGTCTTGGAATTATTTATAAATTTGAAGACGTATTAGTAAAGACCGTCAAGTTAATAATTTATAATTGCATTGAAATAAACTATAAAAATTATCTTATAATGAATTTTAATTAACAAAGGAACAGGAAGCATGTCACATCTTATGTTATGTGGCAAATAGTCCAAAACTGGTTGATAAAAGGTCTAGGTTTGAGTATACATTAAACACCGTCTTA